CCCCAGGTCCAGCGCGCCCCGCGCTCAGCCAAGCCCGAGGCGGCCCCCAAGCAGGTCACTCTTTTGGACCTTAAGCGCTGCACCGCCATAGGCATCCGCATGGCGAGGCTCAGGGTGCCCTGGCAGGTGCGCGCGTCGCGCACGCTTTTCACGCTTTGCGCTGCTTGCGCGCCCTCCGCGCGCCGCATTTCTGGCGGAATCCCCTTGCAGACACCAGGGCCCGGGGTTCGAACTTTCAGAGTTTTGCCACTTTAGGCTGTTGCCTTGGGCTCGAGGGCCTCCCCAGCCGCCGCTGGGTACAGGCATGTGCCCGCCCGCCCGCCAGCTCGGCCGCCGGTGCGAACGCCGACGCGCCCACCCCGCCCGCACCCCCAGGCGGGCCCCCTCGAGAGCGCGCTCCCAGCCCCTGCCTCCCTCCAGCACGACCCCTCTTGCGCGAAGCTACCCCCCTTCTTCCCCCTGCATTCCTGCAGCCTGCCTTTCCTCTCGCTGTCCTCGACAGCGAGACTCTACGACAACCCAAAGCATCCAACCCAATCGCATCCAACGGGGTCTTCCCTTCCACACCCCTCTCCCTCACAAACCCCACCTCACCCCTCTCCCTCACCCTCCTCCCCCCTCCCCCCATCTCATTCATATCATCTCATCCTCCTCCTCCTTTCCCTGCCCTTCCACCCCCCTTAAACCACCCCCAATGGGGTTGAGCGTCCAGGGTGTTTGTTTTCCGACCCCCTTGCGCTGCTCTACATCACATTACATCACGCGATGCACTGCTCCCTCCCCAAAACACCACCCCCAAAGGCGGCCGCGGACGCGATCCTGTCTCTGGACCGCACCGCGTTTGAGAGCGCGGAGGACGTGAGCACCCTCATGCAATGCCTGCCCAGTGAGGACGAGAGGAGCACCCTGCAGGTGAGGGCCCTGGGGTGGGTGTGAGTTTACTGATGCAAGCTTGTGTGTGTGCGTGTGTTGGTGTGTGTGTGTTTGTTGGTGTGTGTGTTTTTGTCGGTGTGTGTGTGTGTGAGTGTGTGTGTGTGTGCGCGCGCGCGCGTGCGTGCGTGCGTGTGTCCGTGCATGCGTGCGCATGTGTGTGTGTTGGTGTGTGGATGTTTGTGTCAGGATGTACTGGAAGGGAGGGAGGAGCCATGTGCACCCAGTGCCCGCTGGTGCAAACGCCTTGTGTGCGCCGCACACAGGCGCAACGCACGGTGGTTGCTGCCTGCGGCGCGCCCCACCTGCAACCTGCGCGCCCTTGCGCGGCGCCCGCGGTTGTTCGCGTCGCGTATTTCATCACGAACCCACCCACCATCTCCACCCCACCATTCAACCCCCCAAACCGTCTTTTGACCGCCTTCAATCGCCCTCACCCGCCCGCAACCGCCCCTAACTGCCTCCCAACCGCGCCCGCCACAACCGCCCCCACCTGCCCCCAACCGACCCCAACCGCCTCCCAACCGCCCCCAACCGCCAGGCCTACGTGGCGTCTGGCAAGCCGGTGGAGGTCCTGTCAGAGGCGGAGCGCTTTGTGCTGTCGCTGATGGCCGCGCCGCGCGCCGCGACGCGGCTTAGGGCCTTCAGTATGCGGTTCGTCATGGCCGAGAAGCATGCGGAGGCGGCGGCCGTGTTCACGGTGGGAAGATTTGGCTTGTCAAAGGGGGCGGCTGTTTGCTTATTGTGGCGGGCAGGCATTGTTGCTTTGCAGCATAGCAGGATAGGTCGGCCGCTGTCCTCACGGTGGCAAAATCTGGCTTGTCAAAGGGGGCGGCTATTGCTCTTTTCGCGGGCAGGCGTTTCGTACTGCAGCAAAGCATGCGGAGGCGGCGGGCGTTTTTGCGGTGGTCCATTAGTGTGCGGCGCTCTTCTCGTCGCCCCGCCTCCCCATCTTCCGCCCCCCAGGACCATGCCAAGGCGGCGCGCGAGCTCGTCAACAGCCGCACCCTGCGCCTCGCGCTGTCCGTCGCCCTCGCCGCCGGCAACTTCCTCAACCACGGTGCGCACCCAGCGCGCCGCGCCCCACGCCCCGCGCCCCTCGCCCACGTGCGGCGCGGCCGGGCCGCGCCGCCGCGCACACCGCCCGCGTCACCCGCGGCGTGCATGCACACTCGCCGGCTCCTCTCGACCCCGGCCCATCCCAGTCGCCCCTCACCAAGTCCAACAGCCGCATCCCTGCCCCTGCCTCCCTCGCCCCCGCCCCCGGCCCCGGCGGTCCCAAACAACACCCTCCCCCCACATAAACACACACACACATCCCCCCAGGCTCCCGCCTGGGCGCAGCCGCCGGCTTCCGCCTGAAGAGCCTCAACAAGCTCGCCGACAGCCGCAGCGGCGACGGCAAGTCCACGCTGCTGCAGGCCGTCGCGCGCGAGGTCTGCGCGCGTCTGAGGGCGGAGGACGGCAAGGGGGAGGGCAGCGAGGTCGGCTTGCTGGTGGACGAGCTGCCGCATGTCGTCAGCAGCCGCCTCAAGAGCAGCCTGCAGGAGGCGGGCGAGGGGCTCGGGCAGGTGGGTGGGGGCAAGTCAGGGTCCTGC